TGGTAACACAAGATCATTTGCATTCACCAATGACCAGCACACTGGTCAATTAATCTGTAAGTGACATTGATTTGTGTACATCACAGTGGAATGCCTGAAGGTCAGCCACAGAGCTGTATTAAAGTGGTTGTCACTAGTGGTCAGTAGTTCATAAGGGTCAGTGTGTATAGGAATGACATATAGCAGGAGCTGGACATTACAGACACTAAACGTTAGTGGGCCGGTCAGTTTGTCATAAAAATGTCACGGGAAGTGTACAGGTTAATATTTCTCTGTGATAAAATGTCAGAGGGTTACGACAGCTGGTGTAAATATTTCATATCAGAAAGCTTACAGCATTATATCTATATCATGGTAGAGAAATGCAAGTTTAATGCTGGTGGTCATATAATGTATTGTGTAAAAGGTTAACATATTTTTCAATAAATGTACACATGTTAAAAGCCAGTGTTAGATTAAAACCAAAACTTAAGGATCCCGTCAAACTATCTAAAATTGTGATTATCCATCGAAAACATTTTTTTTGTGGTATGACTTTAGCCTTGATAAATCATTTCTGAAAAGAAAACAATATTCCATGGGACTTCAATGAATAATAAATAAAATGAAATAAATATAGCAACAATTCATACTTGCCAACCCTCCCTATTAAGGAGGGAAACTCCCGATTTTGGACCCTTAAATTGAGTGTTTTCAACCAGGGAATTTGCTTAACCCTTTCATCCCTATGTATAACTTCAGTAGACTCTACCATGCATTGATATGGATGAGTCCATTATGGTCTACAGTGGTGAAAGGGTTAACTGTTTCTACCTATATTCTAACAAGGTCCGTCATGGATGACATAGAGATAGGAATGAGAATGTGAACTCCCCAAACTAGACAGGGATAACTGTCATTGCCATATATGATACATATAAGTATTGTTGTTTTGGTAGCTAGGGGAAAGTTAGATTAGAAGTAAGATTAAATTGTCAAACGTGCCTAATTATATATGTACAATGTGTGGTGCCAGAATCATGATTAATTAATGTTGTATAAGATGGTGAAAAGTACTTGGGGAAGATTTAAGAAGTAGTCTAGATTAGAAGTCGAGGGTAGACAGGGATTCCAGGTTCGGGAATGTGAGCCTCTGGAGAGAGAAAGAGGCCAGGAATGGCCTGGCCGGTGAGGCCTGTGATGGCCCGGGTACAGCACTTGGTGGGCTTTAAAACTATGTGTTTGATGTTGTAACTCTAGTATATAATCGGTGTGCAGGTAGATTGCTGTCGTGTTCTCGAAATATGTTAAAAAGGACATTCAGTAGATTTCAGACTGTCGCTGCCACAATGCGAAGTAAATAAAAAGTCCAAATGTGTTGTCAGCATGTTATGCAACAAAAAGTATAAGTGCTAGACCAACCGAACTTGGACCTACCTACATGCGTCTTATATACTTCACCTCAATCCATGCATCAGTCGCTGAATGTGCCCTACATTTCACGGTCCAGTGACTTTGACAGCATCTTTATCAATGTTCAGGTTTTGGACGTAGTGCATCTCAAACCATGCATCATATGCTGATGAATGTGCCCTATATTTTGCGGTCCAGTGACTTTGACAGCAGCTTCATCAATGTTTAGCTATTGCGTTTAGCTGTGTGTTTCATGCTGCTGTATCAAAAAGTTAAAGTGTTGGACTAAATAAACTTTGACTGTAGTTGTTTCAGATGGAGTGTATCTCAAACCAAGCATCATATGCTGAATGCGCCCTATATTTCGAACTTCAGGTCAAACTAACAATGCTTCACACATTCAATCTTATGATCAAAGCGGGAACAAAGGCGAGACATCTAATTACGTGTAATTCTTATTATTTAATTTGCTTTAATAGATCACCCACAAAAAATATATGAAATTTACTTAAAATTATTTGTAATAACACACATTATTCATATATGAAAAGGAGAGTTCCAATTTGAAGGTATTTTTCCTGACCTGAATCCAGAGTTGCTTTTTGTCTTTTGACTAGAGCAAAAAGCCATACAAAAGAAATATATATTTTTTTTGGCTCTACCATGAGGGTATTCAGTCCCTTGATTATCTTGATTTTAAAGCTGCAGGAGCGTAACCCTTTCACCACAGTAGACCATAATGAACTCGTCCTCATAAATGCATGGTAGAGTCCACTAAAGTTACCTAGGGGTGAAAGGGTTAACCACTGAGCAGGCATTATGTTTAATGGGTTGATTCATTTCTGCAACATTCATAATTTCAAAATAATTTCCCAAAACAACCAGCGACATATAATTGTGTTTGTTTAACAGGAAAATATTTTTTTAATGTCTGTATACAGTATATAAGTGCTACGTAGATTTATACATTCATACATATAGGATAGACGGCTCCTTCTCTCCTCTGTCTCCCTTTTCTATTCCTTCACTCCATACTCTATCTACAATCAGGCCACCAGCCCCTAAGTTTTTATGAAGAATTTCTCGACTGCATTTTACTACTAGCTTATCTCTCCCTAGTTTAGAACTAGAATCAGACATCCAAGTGATCAAAATTATTAGAGTTATTTTTTTTTCTTAATTATTTAATATTCTAGAGATGGTGGCCAGTCTATATTTTATCCCTAAATCTATTCTTTTTCCTGTCTCTTCTTCATCTGCTGCTGGATAACAGAACTACTCGGTAGTGAAGCGAACGTAAAACCAATCAATCAATCAATCAATCAATCAGTCTACCTAAATTAAAGCTTGGACAAATTTCAGATGACATCTTCAAATGACTTAATTTAGATGTTACCAGGAAGCTTAAAACAAAGAATTCATGTTAAGACAACAAGGCTTTGTAATAAATGTATATATGAAGATTTAGGTACCAATACTGGTGTTGGGGATTCCTAGATGCCAGCGTTCTTCCTGATTATACATGTATTGGTGTCAGGCTGAAGTGCTAACACCAGAGGATAAAGCATTAACTCATTCACCCCTGAAGACACATTTGAACTCTTCCAATTCAAAGGTTGGAATAGTTCATTTTGAAATTTCAGGGGTGAATGAGTTAATCTGTTAACACAGAAGCTGGCTGGTATACACTATAGTGTTTATGTTACTGTATACGTAAATCTGTCCTTTGGATCTAACATAAACCTTGAGGCAGTTATATTATCATTAACTCGACATGTTATAGCTCTCACTGACCCAGACATTTATGATTTCTTTCGATAGGATTTTTACCAATTTAAGCATAAGTGATAACCATTGATTTCCAGAATACAAAACCTTTCAGTTGGATTAAAATGCAAATGTTAAAATATACATATCACCTCAGCAATTGTAAATGAACATTGGATTTTAATGAGATTGAGAAACGGTTTTACTCGGAATGCTTAAAATGTTATTCTTCTATATTAAATTTCCAAGCTTAAGGATCCCCGAATTTCATCCTTCACATTTATGCATATAATTACTATATAGGGTAAACTGTACTTTACTAAATATTTCCTGTAATGATAAGTTCGCCCTTGACTCATTCACCCCTGAAGACACATTTTGAACTCTCCCATTCACCCCTGAAGACACATTTTGAACTCTCCCATTCACCCCTGAAGACATGTTGCAATAGTTCATTATGAAATTTTAGGGTGAATGAGTTATTAATTGCAAAGGGCAAAAAAGGCAAAATTTTAACTGCAACAAAAACTTCCTGGTATAGAGTATGCTAACCAGACATGGTGTTTCCTTCATCAGAAACCTGCTGTATCACCTGTTCAGAGGATTCAACCATCCTATTGGTTTATGAATACATATAAACACACGGAGATCTTTGTTAATCTTGGTGCTGGTCTAATGGCCATGGCAGGGCCTTATACTTCATGAAGAAAGCAGAAGCAATATACCACACGCCTCGTCTGATATAAATATATATATTTACATTTCTTCTACAAATCCCTATATAAATACTGCCAGAGGATTGGTGTTAGTTTGGTGATATGAAGGCTATATGCCTATGGCCTTCCCAGGTTTACTATTTTAGAGTTCATACCATGGCCAGCTCAGTTTTAGATTGTAAAAAAAAATTAAAAGCTAAGATTATATAAAATTTTCATTGTAGATATTTATATATGGAACATTTTCAGCAGCCCCATCTTCAAGCTCTCGTGGGATGGTAATACCCCAGAGTACCTTTTGATCAATGTCACATTGATGCTTTTCCTAATTGCCTTGCATAATATTCTGAGACCATTGTAAACTAACACTCTAGTGATATTGTTTCCACTGATGATACATTTTACATGAACAGACATCAATAACTGTTAATATTGAACAAATATAGTGCTGGCTTCAGAGTAAATTATAAGCTAGGTATCTTTTAACTTTGCATTCATACCATCGTGAACATTGAAAAAAATGGCATTCAATCCCCATATATAGATAGCACAGACTAATGCTTACGTATCATTCTGTTATTACAAATTACCAAAAAAATATGTTCATAGCGATATCCCCGGAGGATATAAGAGATCATATTGTAAGTCTCAGAAAGACACTAAGCTCAAGTTGTATGGGATCAGAGACTGATATTAGAGGTAAAACAATTTTGATTTTCGAGGACAGAACGTAGATGCTGCCTAGATGCTGCCAAATTTTTCTTGTCCCAATTTATTAGGCAGATTTTCCATAGTAAATTTTAAAATGTTCACAAGCCCTGTGACAATCATCTTTCCACCTGGTTATAATTATTAGGCTATTGGAATTTTTACATTCCTGATGTTCAACAGAAAGCTGATCATAATCTTAAATCTTGTTCTATATTTTTCAAGTACATAAGAGGGTATAAATAGATCTCAATTGGTCTTGATGAGAAAAATCTAGCATGAACTGCGATAACGATAGCATAGATATAGCAAATAATGTGTTGGTACGTTGTAGTAAAATGTTGGTTGTAGAGATTGTCATGTGTGTTATTTCTTGAGCATCCGGACGAAGATAATTTTATTTTTTTCCCTTTTCAGACCAGCCCGCCCACGTGTCACAGGTGAATGTTGAGTACCCAATGAACACACCAGCCGCTGGCCAAGGTAAGTCTTCAAAAAGTAAAACGCCCCGTTATTACAAATACATGTATCACAGGTGAATGTTGAGTACCCTATGAACACACCAGCCCCTGGCCAAGGTAAGTCGTCAAAAAGTAAAACGCCCCGTTATTACAAATACATGTAATACGCAGGTGAACAAATACAGGCAACACTCCGGTAACTTCAGTATACAAATACAGGTAGATTTTACAGGTAAATCATGTTGATTTAGAACCATTCAACGCCCTTAATATATATCGTGGGTTGAGTGGAGTTGGGGAAATATCTGGTTTTCTATACATATAGCCATACACACATCACTTAACATTATATATATATATATATATAAACAATTAGATAGTCATGGTCTACTCCTAAAATTTTAGCAATGATTCATTTTACCTTCCTAAATCAAACAACACCAAAACCATACCATTTGTTCAGAATCAACAGGTCACTGATTACGCAGGTTAATTTTACTAAGACTTTTTGCAGGTTTAAATCCTTATGAATTAAATCATATAGATTTTTAAATACATTCTGCCTAGGGTATGTGATAAAGTAATAAGTGTGGTTTTTGTCTCGCCGTGACGAGGTAGCGGAAGCGAAACTAAGGTGTTGCTTTTTCCAGCGAGGGCGTTGCGTTGGGTGGCGTCAACATTAAGTTTTAGTGTTAAATTTAGTTTCACTGAAAGTATAAGTGCTAGACCAACCAAACTTGGACCATAGATGCATCTTAGGTAGTACATCTCAACCCATGCATCAAATGCTGGATGCGGCCTACCTTTCATGGTCCATTGACTTTGTTATTATTAACATTAAAGTTTTTGTGTGTAAGTTAGTTTCTTTGATGGTGATCAAAGCGGGGCACAGGTCAGACATATCAATCCGAATGGCTTGTTAATGAATGAATTAATGCTCTGTTATTATAGAAATTATGAAACTATTTATAGATTAGAGTTTTTATCATAAAAGAATGTATCATTCAGCATTGATGAAAATTTGTCCAGATGTCATTTCATAACAAGTATTCATTTAGGGTCTCTGTACCACTTCCTAAATCTGTAACCACGTATTTCAAACTTTTCCCCGAGGATTGTTATAGCTTTGAAATAAAACAAACCTGAAAAGAAAACTGCACCTTGTGGAACTTTAATTAAAAAAAATAACAAGGAGTAAATTAAAAAAAAATATCACAACAACAATAGTGTTCTGAGTGTAAAAATGCGATGTGGCTAGACACAGGAGCTCAGATTATTATACTGTAACTCTCACCAACTGAGCTACCTGGTGAGAGGTAGTACCCGCACCCTGTTGCGCCAAAGTTGTATATCTCAAACAAGATTTGATTAAGGGGAGGTTACTGTAAGTACGAAAAACAACAGTGGGATTTTGCTTGCTGTGGGACAGGGATCTTTAAAGTTGTTAACACAATTCAATTTGCGCATAATTAAGAATATATAGTCATTAATATATTATTATTGGAATACATACTATGCATGTATTTATAAAATTTTGTGGAAATATTAAAATATTGAAATCGGGAAAAAATATTAAAATTTGATATGTTTTATAAAAAATATACATGTAACTTTATTAGTGATTTATCCCTGTTTGTAAAAAAATTGTTACATATACAGATTTCAAATTCATTGTCATCATGATTAATTGATGTAGTTGACAATTCATCAGCTTCAGGCGATTATTATTGAAGAAATGTCCAAGTAACAGGTGTCGATGCACTGTCCCTGTATATTGCAGGAGAAAATAGACCTGCAGCTTAAACATCAATTTGTCAGAATGTAAACAAAACCATCCGGTATGGTAATATTGTGTGTTCAATGTATGCCATATTGTTGACTGGTCGGAGGATTAAACCTGGAGTATCTGATCATGAGTTATAGCCCTCAAATTCCTGTTATCAATCACAGAGTTGTTAGGCAGGCTCAGGCATAAGATAACAATGTTTATAGTGACTACAGCGCCATATATACAATGTATACCTTTACGAATATTTCCTCTTATCAACGTCTGGTACTCTACTGAAATATATTTCAAGGTTTATCAATCTTCGGATGAGTTTAAACTAAGAGCTATATGAAAGTGGAAGCAAAGTTGAAGCAGATATTTTTGATCAAATTTCATATCTACTGTCGCGTTTGACAGTTTTGTCATATAACGGTTTGCCAATTTCTGTTTCAAAAACGTTTTTTGAGAGGTATCTTTGTCTGATAATGAAGTTGACAAAGTTTCGGTGGGCGATTCTCGTTATCTATGCAAATGAGTTGACGTGAATAACGTGTTGATGTTTTTGAAGAAGTTTGCTTTGTAACAGACCGATAATTTCATTTCCCTGTGAAACAGGTCCACTGAACTATTAATATTCGACTGTCGAATGCTACGAAATGTAAAAGTGTTAGACGTACGGTGGATGCTGTTTGACATCTGTGTGTGTGTGTGGATGTATTCTGTTGTGTTCATTTGACTGGACTTAACGTTTGTATAGTGGACAAGCTTGGAAGTTTATGTGTACAAGTGTACATTGTGTAGCCATAAATCACAAGTTATACTTAATGTGAGATTTCTGTTCTTGAATTCGGATTCTTAACATGTCACGTAAGTATTTTACTGGGTATACACAAATATGCTTGCATATCAGTACAATGTTTAGTAATTTTTGAGAATTTTAGGTTTTTCTACATAACGTTTTAAGTGTCTGTGTTAAAGTTCGCCTCTTTGAACCTATTTCTGGTGTCAACATTTTGGCATGGATTGTACTCCTCAGCTATGCATACATGTCATCATTTGATATGATATCAAATATAATCTCGGGTCATAAGTCGATGTTTTATCCAGATGGTTTATCAAATGACCTTGTCCACACCTCATATCCGGGATGAATTCGGTGTAAAGAAAAAGTAGACATGCTCCATCACACTACACGATCAAAGGAAGCAAGTACTGTAACCCCTCCAAGCCTCATCCCAACACCTTCCATCCACTTGTAGAATCGGCAGACTTCTGCTTAAAGAGGACATTGGAGAAATCAAAATTGATGTGCTTCCCCAAACTGCAATACTTGGTAGCTTCCTACTCATTCTTTTTGGCGTTTTGTCCCCTAGACACTTGGTGATCATGATTATTGCTGGAATAACTAGACCAGGTGGAGTGTCATGTTGACGTCTCCAAGTTAAGACATTTCAGGGAGAAGGCTCTTAAAAGCGGCCCTTGAGTGGCTTTGTTGTCTGTAGACACCGTTGTCATATGACCTTAGCTGTGGCAAGAATGTAGAAACCTAAACAAACGATATTATTTTTAGATTCTTGTTTATATATATACAGACAACCTGTGTATAAAGACTAATTGTCTATACAGACCACCTGTCTATAAGATCAACTCTTTATAATGACCACCTGTAACATACGACCAATTGTCTATATAGACCACCTGTCTATGAGTGCACCTGGCTATACAGACCACTTGTCGATCATCAATGCTCATTATAATGACCACTTGTAACATAAGACCAATTGTCTATACAGACCAATTGTCTATACAGACCTACTGTCTATACAGATCACCAGCTGTATAAGTGTCTTCATTATTATGACCACTTGTAATATATGACCAACTATCTACACAGACTACCTGTCTATAAGAGCACTTCACTATAATGACCACTTGTAACTTAAGACCAACTGTATTTACAGACCAACAGATCACCTCTGCATTTAAGAGCACCTTTCTTTAATGACCACCTGAAACAGAAGACCAACTGTCTATAAAACTGCCTGTCTTTAAGATCACCTGTCTATAATGACCACTTGTAACATAAGACCAACTATATATATAGACCACATGTCTTTAAGATCACTTCTCCATAGGAGTACCTGTCCATAATGACCACCTGTAACAGAACTATACCAACTGGCAATAAAACTGTCTGTCTTTAAGATCACCTCTTTTTAATGACCACCTGTATCATAAGACCAACTGTCATTTAAGACAACCTGTCTATTGAGACAGCAGGTTTTAATATCTCCCTTGGATGGTTTTACGGACAGGTTTCACTGTAGTTATACTGTAGTATGATGCTAAATATAAATTTTCCAGTTTTGCCTTGTCATGATTTAAAATTGTTACCAGGGCTTTCATTTCAATGTTATGCATAATCTTATATACAACGTTTTCCTGGCAATTATAATGAAAACTCTTGCTTGGTCTAATTCTGAATTCATCTCTGTTTTGTAATGGTTATTCTTGCGGTTTTAAATTTCCATTGAGTCAACAGTGAATATTTATGAATAATCTGGTTTAACTCATTTACCCCTGAAGACATATTTGAACTCTTCCAATTCAAAAGTTGGAATAGTTCATTATGAAATTTCAGGGGTAGATGAGTTACATCTTATTCCTACCCCGACATCAAATCTTGCCCTGTCAGAATCATCAAAGTATAACGGCTGGTGCCCTAAAATTTAATCAGATAATTAATTGAGAACAAATTATATGAACAAGTTTATGTATCTGGGGACTTTTCTGTGTGTACAGTACAGTTGAACTTCATTGCATATCAGCTTTTGAATACCAACAATGTATAAATGTGCTTATACCTAAGTTATTTGGGATCCATGTTAAGTTATAATAAGTGCTTTGTATTCTAATGTATTATTTTATCATTTTCTGATCATGGTTCCAAAGGCTTTCAGCAATGTTTGTACATAAAAACGTTCCTGTTATTGTCAATCTTCACACAAATATATCTAAAGTCAGTATAGACAGGGATCCAGATAAGACAGGAACCAGTTTAGACAGGTTTTGTTGTATATAATACACAAGAACCTGTATTATTTGATCGTTGACCCCAAATCAGGGTGTTCATTGAGAACAGGCAGCAGACCAAAGTGACCAGTTCAGACCTCATTTTGGCCTGTTCAAATCACCTTTTTCTTATATATGTCTCGTGTAATTTTATAAAAGCTGGTCGGTTAGAAATGTTTGGT